AGACACAATGATCTACAACGATCTGAGGGCCGCTGATAACCTGTGGCAACATTGTGACGCATAACGCGCTACTATAATCTGTGGGGACAAAAAAAAGGAGGGTAGGAAGCGTAAGAAGCCTACATCTCTTTGTGTTATCGTGGAGTGAATATTTCTTCAAAACTAAAAATAAGGACTACTCTAGAGTGTACCGTGTACAATCTAATTACTAGTGTATTCTACCGTGTAGAAGAAGCCACCAGGAGCTGTCAACGTTTTGCCGATCTTGGAAAGCTGGCTAGTAAAACCGTGGGTAGTTTTATTGTTTTCTTGGTGTAATTTTGAGACTGCGGTAACGGAACGTTTCAGGGGATATTGAATATCAATACAGTTTACTATATAATTTAAAATCAATCCCAAGCCGCCTCATTTCTAGCTTTCGAGCCGCATTTATTTAAATTAGTGATTTTCATATATAAAATTCCTATCCTTAATTAGCGTCCCGTGGACGTCATATACTTGAGTTAAGCGTTTTTTATTTTATTTTATTTTTTTAACACTTATTTAATTCGCCTTTTCTACCTAAATTTTCATTCGTCGCCTTTTGCGATGCAAGTTCTCGCGGTTACGCTAGTTGTGTATATGTGATCATTCGTAACGACAGAGGTCAGATAAAGTACGCTTGGTGATAGCAAAATCTAAAGTAGCCTCCGTCAAACCCTTAACTATCCCGAGGTTGGAATTGATGGCGTCAGTTTTGTTAAGCAGATTAATTAAATATGTCCGTGACATTTTAACTCGTGTAAAAATTTATCGTATCACTGCGTTAACCGATTCGACTACGGTATTGGCGTGGCTTCAGACAGAAGCTTACAAATTAAAGCCGTTTGTTAGTAACCGTGTTACTCAGGTATGCGAAATGTTACCTCCACACTTTTGGCATCACGTTAGTAGTGAGTGCAATATGGCAGACATCAGCTCGCGCGGAGCGTCTCCGTCACAGCTCTTGGAGTGCAAAGAGCAGTGGGGCCCATCTTGGTTGTATGATGACTACTCGCAGTGGGCAGTTAGAACATTTATCAACCAAGATGAAAATAATACACCCGAAATAAAATCAAATTATTCATTAGGTTCCGTCAATTTAATCACTATTGAAAATAATTTAATAGAAGAATCTAAGCTAGAGTTCTGTGACCGATTTTTTCCCATTTCTCTTCTTATTATAAACTGCAACGTACGGTTGCTCGAATATTGAGATGGTTCCGATTTAAATCCGGTCACTCTAAGCAATACATACAAAATACAAAGGTTTATGTTCGAGCAAAAAAACAATATATTAGAGGGTTGCTCAAAGCGACAAATTATATGGAAATTTAATTCCCCCAGCGCACCACATATGGGTGGGCTCTGGGAAGCTGGAATTAAATCCGCCAAGTACCTCTTAGCGCGAGCCGTCGGAGAAAAAGGTTTGACGTTCGAGGAACTCACCACAGTGTTTTGTAAAGTAGAAGCAATTCTCAATTCGCGGCCGCTCTGTCCGTTACCAGCTAGTGATAACCCGGATGAATTTAACATACTGACAGCGGGACACTTTCTAATAGGAAAAGAATTAACGGCGGTACCTGAGTATAATGTAGAAGACATAACGATGAATCGATTGTCACGTTGGCAATATATTCAAAAATATTCACAAATAATTTGGCGTAGATGGAGTCGTGAATATTTAAATACGCTGCAACAGAAAGTAAAGTGGTATTCGGATAGATCTAACATTAAAATAGGTGATCTTGTAATGATAAAAACTGATAACATACCGCCGTGCAATTGGCCTTTGGGTAGAATAGAGGCTCTTCACCCCGGCTCAGATGGAATTGTTCGTTGTGTTACGCTTCGCACCGAAAAGAGTACTTTACAGAGACCAGTTAATAAACTGAGTCCTCTCCCTTATGCAAATTAGCTTACTTGTACTAATAACCTTTTCGTTGAGACCATTCTGTGTCTCAGCGTTATCTTGATAGAGATTAAGTTAGATTAAGTTATAATTTTATCTTATCTTTTGGAGAAACCATCAAGATGATTTCGGTGGGGGGTGCGTTCAGTAATAAACCGCAAGTCGCAAATTTTATACCGAGACACAATGATCTACAACGATCTGAGGGCCGGTGATAACCTGTGGCAACATTGTGACGCATAACGCGCTACTATAATCTGTGGGAACAAAAAAGGGAGGGTAGGAAGCGTAAGAAGCCTACATCTCTTTGTGTTATCGTGGAGTGAATATCTCTTCAAAACTAAAAATAAGGACTACTCTAGAGTGTACCGTGTACAATCTAATTACTAGTGTATTCTACCGTGTAGAAGAAGCCACCAGGAGCTGTCAACGTTTTGCCGATCTTGGGAAGCTGGCTAGTAAGACCGTGAGTAGTTTTATTGTTTTCTTGGTGTAATTTTGTGACTGCGGTAACTGAACGTTTCAGGGGTTATTGAATATCAATACAGTCCACTATATAATTTAAAATTAATCCCAAGCCGCCACACGAGTATTTAAATGTATATGTCTATAGGCTACAGCAACCACTTACCATCAGGTGGACTGTGTGCCGGTTTGTCACCCTATACTATAAAAAAAAAGAAGTCAAGAAGTCGTTCGGCCTTCGTCGTTCATATCGGATATTCATCCTATCAGACTATAAGTGTGAAGGAATCGAGAGTGCACTTGTGTTTGCGCATTCATTCGGGCACTTTATTCCTGCCTTGCATAGATGACTAGTCTTGAGACTTAGGACATTATTATTATTTGGTGTCGGCATGTCTTCTACTTCTTATACGTATTCTCCTTTATTATCCGCTCTTCTCTCACTCCTTCCTTACTGGTAAGCATATCATATGAACTTTTATGATATACTTTCCCTGTCGTTTTTTATAAAACAAAATATAGTGAACTATCTATGTATGATAAGGAGGCGTACACCCACTATATGGTAAACTAAATAAACAGAAACTTAAAATGTTTATTAAATGTAATAAAAATTTTGCGTTTCTCTCTTTCTTACATCTTTCTTTACTATAATTGCCTTAATGTTTTTATAACCTTTTAGTGTCAAAATTTATATTAATTTTCTCACTAATTGTGACGGAAGAACAGTTAAAATAAGGTCAAAAACTATATTCCTCATGCCTCATTACAGCCGAACAAAATGTGACTGCTAAACATGGGCCTCCTCCATACATTGTCTCATAATTTTGATCGATTGAATTGATTTTGACGCAGTGGCCACGCGTGGCAGGCGTTTTGGCAACGGTATTCTTTTATTATTTTGAGTTGTTATTAAGAAAGTGCTGCTACCAGTCTTCATTAACATTTTTGCAGACCTTACAATCACGTCTGATGACACCCAGAGCATAGTAATGGGTGGTTGATTCTCTTAAGTCGTGTTTTTTTTTAAATGTTTAATTAATAATACGTTACGGTGGTAGTGGCTCAAAATAAAAGCACGTATTTTATTAAATATGTACTATATTTAAATTTAGCAATAAAATAAGTCAAGTGAAAACGAGGGACGGGACAGTTCATCGAAAATATTACAGAATGTACACCATAGTATCGAAACGATAATACAATATAAACAAGTAAACATATATTCCGGTTCTGCAATCGGGTTGCATGAATCTTATGAATCAAAACCAGTAAATATGTATTTCAATGGTTTTGATTTTGTGCGGTGACAAGTGGCAGTGATGGCACGAAGGTTTGTCGCTCCGTCGTCACGCAGTCAGCCTCAGTTGTCGAACATAAACGTAAGTGCTGTTGTAAGCCCGTCCGAAACCTGTTTCTCCATTGCTTTCGAGACACAGAATTTAGTCACTTACCTAAATGCATCTAACATACCAAACAATCGCACCTTTTTACATTAATTAATATGTAACAAACACTCCAAGGCTCTTTATTACTTATTGCTGATCATGATCGTGGTTTGAAGATGTAACATTCACATCAATAAATTGCAAGTACATTCGCCTTCGAACAAATCACAAACGTATACTGCGAATATACGTCATTTAACTTAAAACTGTACACTCTGAGCATCACGATGCATAGGTTACTGTACACTCTGAGCATCACGATGCATAGGTTACTGTACACTCTGAGCATCACGATGCATAGGTTACTGTACACTCTGAGCATCACGATGCATAGGTTACTGTACACTCTGAGCATCACGATGCATAGGTTACTGTACACTCTGAGCATCACGATGCATAGGTTACTGTACACTCTGAGCATCACGATGCATAGGTTACTGTACACTCTGAGCATCACGATGCATAGGTTACTGTACACTCTGAGCATCACGATGCATAGGTTACTGTACACTCTGAGCATCACGATGCATAGGTTACTTCGTATCCGAGGGGAAGAAGTCATACGATAAATTTATTCTACATTCTAAGATTTACATAGGTACATGATTAGGTGCAACAGCCCCATGAACTCCTTCCCCGGCGAGTCTCGTTGAAATAAGCATCAATGAGGGCATCACGACTTATTCGGCACCAGGGCGGCGCCTTTTTGGAATGAGATGAAATATTTGAGTATTTATAGGAGGTAATTTTAATTTTAGTGAATACCTATTAGTTAAAATTTCTTTCTAAAATATTTGTTTTATTTTATATTAATAAAATTATAATGGATAAAACATAATACGGATATTCCTAAATCTAAAGAATTGAACAGAGAGCAAAAAATTAAAGAGCCAACACTGAAGTACTGTTTTATGTAAATAGGTATATAGAAACGAAAACTTTTACTCAAAACGCAACTTTCACTTATATGTGACACTGTGTAACAAATAACTTCACCTCAGTCTCAACCAGCGACATCTGGTGAGCGAGAAAGTTATCAGCCCTCATTAGTATGCGACAGTCAATCGTCAGGAGCCGCTGTCGGGCTCGGGCGGAGCGCTCCGTCACACGGTGGTCTCGCGGTCCACGTGGATGTACTCGACGGAGCGCTCGCGGCGTCAGGACGAGGTGGTAGAGGAGGCACGCGACGCGTCGAACAGCAGCTCGTCGGTGAGGCGGCGGGCGGGCGGGCCCCCGAACAGCCGCTTGTCACGCGTGCGGGCTCGGGCGCGGCGGCGCAGCGCCAGCGCGGCTAGCAGCAGCAATGCCGCTCCGGCCGCCGCCACCGCCGCGCCCGCTGCTGCCGGCGCAGCTAGCGCCGCCAGCAGGCGTGCACCCGCGCCGCACGCGCCGCGCTCGTCGCCGCCGCCCGGGCAGTCGGCACGCCCGTCGCACCACAGCGCGCCCGGCATGCAGGCGCCCAGCGCCGCGCACTCGTGCCGGCACGCGCTGCCGTTGCCCGTCGCCCCCGCCCCGCCCACCGCCCCCGCCTCGCGCCACACCTGCACGCGGTACCACCACGCTGCAGCATATTATAGTTATAACACGAATAGGTCAGCTCAACCAGGACTACACTCTCCAAAATAACAACGAAAATAGCAGCTTAATACTGACGTGCTTCTTATAGTGAAGTGAAACCGGAGACCATTATTACTGGCAATGAGGCATTCCATCTATCCTCAAGGCTCAAGGGTGACAAATTTTTGTATTTGCATTTTGATTCTTAACTGAAGATATATGTAAATATCTATCATTACTCATATATCATTTTCTACTCATCGGATGAAATTAAATTAAACATGCTTTATTCTTATTGTTACACTGAGAAATAAGAGAAAAAAATTACAAATTACAAAGGTTACAATTGACGGCTTTTTCGCATACATACGATTTCTACCAGACAGCAAAGTTAAGAGTGTATGCAAATTATTTAAAAATACACAAGCAATACATATATTTACACACTTAATAAATACGTATATAATATAGATGAAATAAGTGCCCACTTGTCACATTTCTATAAAAACAAACCTCCATCCAGGAGAATTGAGCGCGGCCGGGCTCTCGCGCCGCCCACACCACGAGCAGCGCCGCGCGCGCCGCCCGCCCACCGCCACGTGACCACCACTCCTCTGTAAACACCTGCACGGTGCGACTCTCCTCCTCGCCGGGACATACTGCTTTAAGTAACCTGTTCAAATCAATATCGACTCTACCAAGAAGTTCGTATTGGTAATATCCTCCAGATCGATTTCGTTTGTCGGAAGTTACTTTGGTTAACAGAAACACTCACTTTTTTTTACTTTATTTGGAACACCTACAGCGTATAAGCGGCACATGAGTACAAATTGGACATTTCAACAAAGTCATTTACAGGTATTCGCATATTATGGTTATGTAAATGTTAAGAGACCATGCAAACAATAACAATAAACAAACAAAATCCCTGAAGATGAGGAATAAATTCAATATTTAAGAATATTTTAGAATTTGTTGCACCCTCGGCGCGGAGGCCAAACAACTCCAAAGCAAACAATCTTCTTACGTTCTGAGGCTTAGTATGGAGCAATTCTAGTTCGCTATTATTTTTTGACGGTTTGTTAAAAAAAGTCACTTGCACAAATAATGAATGAGTTGCGACGGTAGTTATAGTATTGACTCTAGGAATAGCTAGCGGTTGAGTACGTGTAACTATTAATCTGCATGGAACGCAGATGTTTTTTTTTTTCGAGCAAAGCCGAAATGTCGAAAAGTTGCTGTCTTTTTTCAAAGGTTAGAAGTGTTATTTATTGCATCTCGTTTCATAACCATGATCCAATTGCTTACACTTGTATTGTAGATGTCTCAAGAACCTTTCTAAAAATTATATACCAACTTATCCGTAATTAAAAGAATCAGGCATTAGTTTGAGGAAATCCGTTAAATTAAAGTTGTTAAGAATTAATTATCGCACACATCCGCTCAATAAAATAAAATGATGTGTCTTACCTAGTTTGAAGAGCACCTCCCACCCTCCATCATTGCCACCGCAGAGTCTATATCACCTGAAGATACCTTGTGTAGAGGCGAAACACGAGTTGGGAGTAGTGGTGCTGGGATTAGTGGTGACGGGATTAGTGCACGCAATTGAGGTAGGGCGGGAGGTGCTCTTCAAACTAGGAAAGACTTAACTTATCCGTACTCAATAAAAAACTTATATACACTTAGATTAGAGAAAAAATTTAATTTATGTATCAGAGCTATGAGGATAAACACAATTCAGACCGATGAGAAAATTGAAAAATTACATTTCGGAAAATAAATCCAACTCAGAAAAAAAAATTCTTAGCCTCTGATTCCATGCAAATACTACAGATTATATTGAATGTTAATTTAATAACTGTCCTTAGTCTTGGGCAAGTGTCTTGGCATTAGGTGTTTCAAAACCAAATGGTAGAAAACATTAAGAAATTGAGTATAAATATTATGGCATTCCCTTCAAGCGACGGTCAATACAACATCGACACTGGAGCGTACCCGTATAATGTGAAAGAAATTGAAAAAAAAGCTCCTCAAACACTATTGACGGCTAGGTTAATACTAAAAAAGGCCAAAGTCAAAAAAGGCACCTTCAAATGGTATGTATAGAATTGGAAAAAGCTTTCGATCATGTCTTATCTGGAAAGCACTCAAACGGCAGTAGGTATCGGAGTGTTGTATTAACTATATACAACACATTTACTAAACAATACCATCGAAGTATTTATTCCCGCAGGGAAAGATGAAATGTTTGAAATTAAAGTCGGTTCTGGTCTTAGCCCGTTACTTTTTAATACCACTATAGATCATCTTACAAAACACTGTCAAACATCTTCTATTCCGACGATGTAGTTCAGATATAATATAATGTATAAGAACTTCGAGTAACCTTAAATTCTTGGACATGGAGTCAATATTCATATATACCCAAGCTCATTATTTTGCAACGACGGCAAAATTTATAATGAAACAGAACAACAGCTGGATGTATAAAAGGGAGACAACCCTCAGGTATCATGTGTGACAGAAAAATGCCTTTAAAGGTTTAAGGGCAGATGTACAAGACAGCTAATAGACTGACTGTTCTGTATGGATCAGCGTGTTGGGCAACTAACAAGCAGCACTTCACACAACAGTAGTACGCGTGCTGCACTGGTTAGCGAGTTTCAGACTACAACACGAACTTACTCGTAGTACATACGGGGCAGGGTCAATAAAGCCTTGACAGTTTACCGAGTTTAGAAAAGCGTTTGGTGGTACGATACAAAGATGCCCTGACAATCATAATATTATGGTGAAGCATGCCCTAGACTTGTCAATGACAAAATTAACGCGAGGAAAATCACCATACAACTGAGTCAGAGAAAATATAGACGGTGATGTAATATAATAAATGGTCAAAGTAAAAAAAAATTAAGAATTGTTTATAATCGATATTGATTTTAAAAATTATTCTATTGTATTCATTTCAATAAAATTTTATTCTTAATAAGAACTGATCTAGAAGGAAAAAAAAGATTAAATAATTAAAATATACGAGTACATATAAACATCACAAAAGCTGAATTTAGACACAGTATAAGTATGGGAACAGTACGGAAACTACCTACAAAGGCTCAAAAGAGCACACACACAAACATACACAACTGCGAGTAGCGAACGTTGCGGTACTCTTAGTAGTGAGTGTCGCGTCAAGACGATTGGTTACTTTAATCTTCACGATCTTTTTAAAAATGCCACGAACGTTTTATACAGTATACGGCTGTTTAAACGCGGCTTTATCAAAACCGGTGCTATCGTATTTTAAGCTTCCTGGTGATTTTGAAAGGTAACAATTATTTATTGTTATTGCAATAATCTTTATCGAATTATAAGTACGTGTGCTCGATCATAATGAATTTGTGAATCTATGCAATAGTGGTAACTAAAAGTAAATCCAAGATGGCGGCTGCAATAGGTATACATTTTTTCGTCATGGGTATCGTTTTCATAATTTTCGATGGTGTTGAAACCTATAGTGCCGTCAAAACGTGAATCCAAGATGGCGGCTGATATTTAAAAATTAGGTATCATTTTTTACATCATGGGTGTCATTTTCATAGTTTTTGAGGGTGCTGAAGCCGATAGTACTGCCAAAATGTAAATACAAGATGGCAGCTGCATTAGTTATTAATTTTTTAAATCATGGGCATCGTTTTCATGGTTTTCGATGGTGTTGAAGCCGATGCTGTCAAAACGTAAATACAAGGTGGCGGCTGATTGAATCCAAGATGGCGGCTGATATAGGTATCAATTTTTTCATCATGGGTGTCATTTTCATAGTTTTTGACGGTCTTGAAGCGGGATAGTACCGTCGAAATGTAAATCCAATGTGGCGGCAGCAATACGTATAAATTTTTTCGTCTTGGATATCTTTTTTATAGCTTTGAAGCCAATAGTGCTAATTCCAGGTGGCGGCTGATATAGGTATCAATTTTTTACATCATGTGTGACATTAAATGGTTTTAGTGGGCGTTGAAGTCGATAGTGCTGTAAAATTGTAAATAAAATAAGACAGTATTTTATTTTACAAAAGTTGTTGTTTACCTTCCTCCTGAGTTAAAGTAGTTAAAGTAAAAGGCCACTAGCTGGAACTTTTTGTTTATTAAACACATTACTACCCCTACAGCATCTCTGATGTAAATGATAAAGATGATATTTTGTTATCTTTTTCACCGATTAATTTTTATGAGTTTAACTGACTCCCTAAGATTACCTATTTAAGTTGTATTTGTAAGCTAATTATTTAAATTCCATTGATTGATCACTACAGAAAAAATGTAAAAAAAAATATATCAAAAACATTAAAAGTTACAACTCTATTGCTTTAACGGAGCGTAGGTAATTACGTCCTCAACTAGGCTTAGTTTCCTTACTGTTCTATATTTATATTGTGCTTCAGAGACCAAAGCAGAGAATCAATCCACCTGCCAAGCGAGAAGAGCAAACGTAAAATAAGTCTATACGAGCTGCAGGCTAACCTCGCGGTGTACGCGTCGTACACAAGCACGCGGTTGGAGGTAACGCAGTGCGGCTCCGTGGCCGCGTCCATCGCCAGCTCCTCGCCCCACACGCGCAGAAAAACTGACCGGTTTCCATGCGCTTCCAACAAAAACGGTGCCTCACCGCATTCTGACATCATATTTCCGCTGCAATTGTATATATTCGCATTGTATGCATTCGTTTTAAATGTAACCGAGAACCATATAAGAATTAAATAAGGTTATATATTTGATTAAAACTACTTTTACGGATTTTTATTTTTATTTTTAATTCCCGAACGTTTCGGCTGCTTTCCAGCACTGTGCTGAAGAAATCATTAAGGTTATATATATATATATATATATATATATATATAATAATAAGGTTAATTAAAAGCCTAAATGCACAAAGACTTCCATTATTATTTTTGCATGAATAAAGATCTTTTCATATATACGTGAGCGAACTAAAAGCATGATGCGGTATATCGTTTAGCATTTTTAAGTCGATCACTCACACAGTGCAAAGATTTGTACATGATGGCGCCTGCGCCATTGCACGTGCAGCGGCACCTATGTGGCTAGTCAGAATTCTTGTAAGAAACACGTGCACCGCGCCACTTGCGCGTTGCACCTAGAGTGGGTCCCGTGTGATGAGCTACTTGCTTGAACAAAACGGACGGAGCGGCACCCTTACTAGCTCATCCTCGAATCATCGAATAATTAATTCGTGGAAACGAATTAATTACTATTCTACTACTAAATTAGTCTAAGTATAATTTATAGTTGATTAGGTGTGATCTGTGTTTCATATGAATATATTGTAAATTAATTCTATTTAAAGAAATGTCTCTCTGGGTTTCTTGCTGGTTCTTCCCAGGACAGAGGTTTTCACCAAACTAGTGGTCGTAGTATACTATATTGAATCGCAAAAATCGCAGGCGGTGTGCCGGCATGAAATACTGTCCCGCTCTGCTGAGCACGCCAAGCTTTTTAGAGGCCAATTTGGCCTTCTCTTCCAAGTGACCACGAAACTGCACGTCACTCGATATGTCAACGCCTAGAATTCCGATACTGGCTGAGGCAACAAGGGGAATGGCTTGAAACTGAGGAAATAAGACAAAGGGGTTCTTTTTAGTGGTTAACGCGCAAACTTGTGTCTTCTGGGGGTTAAACTGGACTAGATTTAGTCGCCCCCAATCCGAGACTCTGTTCAGCAAAGACTCGACTTCAGACACAAGTTTGTCCCGGCACTCGGAGACGTTTTCCCGAGAAATATTGGCTCGGCCGGTGTAAAGAGCATCACCAGTGCTGTCATCTGCATAGCAATGAATGTTACGGGTTTGCAACATATCATTGATATGCAAAAGAAACAGCGTTGGCGATAGCACGCTTTGTGGAATACCAGCATTAATAGGCTTGCAATCGGAGCTTTCACCGTCTACAGCGACCTTGATGCTCCGATCTGCAAGAAAGCTGGTGATCCAATCGCACAATTTCTCGGGAAGCCCATAGGAAGGGAGCTTCGAAAGAAGCGCTTTGTGCCAAATCCGATCGAAGGCCTTCGCAATGTCCAAACTAACGGCCAATGCCTCCCCCTTGGACTCTACTGCCTCCGCCCATCTATGAGTTAGGTAGACCAGAAGATCACCAGCTGACCGACCACGGCGAAAACCGTATTGGCGGTCACTTATCAGCTGGTGATCCTCAAGGTACCTCATGAGCTGGCAGTGTACAATGGACTCCATTGTTTTGGAGAACAAGGAAGTGATGGCGATAGGCCGGTAGTTGGACGGGTCTGAGCGGTCGCCTTTTTTAGGGATCGGGTGGACGAAATCCGTCTTCCATGATTTTGGGACTACGCCTAGGGAGTAGGAGTATCGGAAAAGACGCGTTAAAACCGGTGCCAACTCTGGAGCACACGTCTTCAGCACAATTGGAGGGATTCCGTCAGGCCCACTCGACTTGTGGATGTCCAGGGAGAGGAGTGCTTTGTGAACCGAGCGCTGTGTGAACTGCACTTCCGGCATGGAGTACTCACACCACGGGATGGTCAGCGGTGTACTCCCCCCATCGTCATCGAGAGTCGAGTTGGATGCAAAGAAAGAGCCTAGAAGATCGGCTTTCTCCTTTGCGGTATGGGCCAGTGAGTCTCCTCCCTGTGCAGAGATGGAAGAGATGGCTGACAGAAATTCCCCTGGACAGCCTTGGCGAGAGACCAGAATGCACGGGTTCCAGAAGGAAGGCGAACTAGTTTCTCGCCAATTCTGCCTATGTGCTCTGACTTTGTCTTGGCAATGACTCTTTTGAAGGACCTAGAGGCGGAATTATACTTCTTTTTTATTGCGCTCGTGTTTACATCCCGGGACGCTGATGCGTCAGCCCAGGCTCGGTAGCACTCCTGCTTATAGCATGATGCTATTTTACAGGAGCGACCAAACCATGGCTGAGATTTGCCTCCAATGCGCACCACAGAGGAAGGAATAAAAGGTTCCATACCCTGAAATACCACATCAGCGACAGAATCCGCAACAACGTTGGGATCGTCCGGTGAGAAGCAAACCCGCCCCCAATGGTAGGAAAGAAAGACCGCATCCCATCCCAATCGGCTGACCTATAGTGCCAAACAAGGCGGCAGCCTGCAGAATGCAACTGCGATTTCAGCGTGAGTGGCACCACACTCCGAATAAGACAATGGTTCGAGGAGCCTAAAGGGGCGTCGACGGAAATCTGATATCCGTTCTGGTGAGAGGTCAGCAGAAGGTCCAACAGGGAAGGTGCATGATCCTCCACATCTGGAATCTGCATAGGCGAAGTAACCAGTTGTGTCAGACCATATGGCAAGGCAAAATCATGAACAGATCTCCCCGCATGATCGGTTAAACGTTCCTGCGATAACGTGAGTCATCCTTTACTAACTCCTATGCCTACGTAACTAAATGTCACTTAAACAGAAGAAGCGACAAGTGATACTCACTCGCACGCTGATATACGATCATCGCCAATATTTCTCGGGGACACTTAAAATAATATCAGTTAAATTTTTTGTACTTTTTTATGTTTGTTTCTACACATTTAGGCACTCACATTCATAACTGATTGATTAATTGATCTATTCACGCAACGTGTGATTTTCGGGACTTATTTTACTATTACTTATTTATTCAGGCCAAATAAATACAAAAGGTTATGACATATTTACTATGGCAGGAGATTGTACAATGAATATGTAAAGAATCTTACCTATATGGATAAACTAGATGTACGCTGCCACCGGGCGGTTGCAAGCGAAGACGACTTGCACATGGTGGCGCTGACGTTCGGATCCACTCGCCGTGAAAGTGAACATGGCGATGGTCTTCAGCAGCCAAAAGAGTTACAGCAGTCAGTTCCAGCTCCAAGGCTGGTCCTCCTGAGGTTAAAGTCAGCGGTGCACTGGCGTTATCACATATACACGCAACTGGAACGCGATAACCCGGCCAAGGTGATTCATATATACGTAAATAGGGTATTCGTAGAAACTCATCGTCCTCATCTTCAATTAAAGGAGTCTCACTTGGTCGCATTTCCCCTACCTCCGGCTGCTCCGGAGTACATACCAGTTGTCCTGTTAGGGGATCTGCTCGAGTAGTACAGCGTGGCGATCTCCCGAAAGAAGCCGCATGAAGTTTTAATTCCACCCGCCCACCGTCAGTTTGTATCCGATAGAGACACCGAAGTCGTCGCGCTCCTCCGCGTCCAAACCAGAGTGCATTCCGAGGCGATGCGAAAACTCCCGGAGTCGTAAGGCGCCTCGAGCACTCCGGTGGCTCGACACGCATCCGACCCGCTTCAGTGATAGGTAGGAGTGTACCTTCTAACCGAGCATCTACGAATTCATAATGCAAAGAGAATGTGAGCGGATGGGTGGCCGTGCCCGGCAAGGACGTCGCCGCCAGTGCAAGTAGCGGTGCCTCCGAGACGTAGCCGTCGGGGGGAGCGCAGGGGCGCGGCGAGCGCGTAGCGTTGGCGAGAGCGGCGCGCGCGCACAGCGCGGGCGCGGCGTCGCAGTAGCGGCCCAGTGCGCGCGCGCCAGCCTCACCCTCCCCGCCGCCGTCCCACAGGCGCAGCTCCACGGCGCACGCGCCCATTCGTGCGCCGAGGGCTTGCAGTGCTGGATGTGGCGACGGTGTAGCGTTTATCTCTTCGTCTCGCTCACCACTCTCAACTCTCTTTTGTTCGACTAACGAGTAATGTGTGAAACTCGAGAAGTAAATCCAAACGAGATCCCCTGTAAATGAGAATTCATTAGACGCAACTTATTTACCCAAAACTTCATTTAGTACTCTCGAATTATATATTTTTACCTGGGCGTCCATGAAATGTCCAAGTGCATGTTGTATTTGGTGGTAGCGTATGGGTGGGGGCATGAAGACGGCCGCGACGACCTCGCCCACCTGTTGTAGTCATGTTCGTTTCTTCCTCGGATGATGAAGCTTTTACATGAAACTCGCAACGTCTCGCTTCTCTGCCACAAAACATATGCCAAGTTTGACTTAGAGATTAAAATTTAAGGACCGGACAACTTGGAATGAATAATTACCGAGCATAGTCGAGTGAATCAGAATCAGCAAAAACAACGTCGACATCGAGTTCGAAGCCACGTAACGGTGCGGCAGGTGCAGCGGGACGGGGCGGAGCACTGAAAGGTGATGAATGAAAGGCGACCAGCATTTCAGGACCCCGTGACGTAACGCGTGGCAGCCAATCTCCACCGCAGTATTCGATCAACACGGGGTCGTCAGTCGATGCGCCGTCATAGAATATAAGACGATCGCGTTCTCCTGTGCACTCCCGCCAGGCTCTCACTACACGACCCGTCTTGTTTAAACTGCATAAAAATCATAAAAGGGTGTTATAGAGTGTATAACTTAAAGGTTCTTTAGAACAAGGATTCTCTTAGAATAATAATGGCTTTTAAACTTTTATTACGGTAACGCATTTGTTCTATGCTAATGACATCTAGTGAATTAATTAAATTTCACACAAAATAAAGAATATTCTTATATTTAAAAGGAAATCAATTTAGTCTCACCTTGCCATAGATATAGAACGCTTAATTTGCATTTTATGCGAGTGCTCTTGGCGCACGGATATCATTGCATGCTTACACGTAGGAATGTCCTTTTGACGCAAACTCCAGTAACAGGTAACGTTCCTGTAACAAAGTCATAATAAACTGAAGTTCGAATAACGAAGATAAACGAGGAGGTGACGGGGCTTACCGCGGATACATGCCGGGGTAGTTTGGGCTCTGTAGGCGGCAACGTTTACGGTGACATTCCTCGTAAGTACGGGTGCAGTAAGTGCCGGGAGCCACAGCACCTCGCTCCAGGGGCGCCCCCACTGCACCAAACCTATCCAAATATGCATTACATTTAGAAAGTTTTTAAATATACAAAAAATCTTTAATAAATTTGGCAAATCGCTTTTGCGGTGTAACTTTCATTGAAATTAGTTATAATCTTTAGCACTCAAATTTCAGAAAATTTTGGAGGTAATCTGCACAGCTTAACTCTATCTATGTTGTAAATATTTATTAATTTTACGGATGACGTACTGGCAATCGTTTAATTTTTAAAAATCCATCTCAAATACCTAAACTATATTCACGTCACTTCTGCCCTCACTTACGCGCCTGCCATGCAAGATGAGAATGCGCAGATTTTACAAGTACTTCATGCCATCTGGTATAATCTTAGAAAGTACTACCAGCTTCTATTAAGCTTACAACTTAAGCTCACTTTTGCTTTACTTAAAAAGATTACTGATGTGAAATTTCAATTTAAGGTTTTAGATATGAAATTATATATTAAAGAGTGGCATGTTAGTCATCGTCAGGTATATATGTGTACTACATTTTGGAATAACTTCACGATTTCAATTGTTTCGATTAATAATATGTATAATTTCATAAAAACAATCAAATTAAAACGTGTTGAACTTATCGATTGCAATGCTTGCTATAATAAAATCAGAGCAGGTTAAATCGTTGACGGCCGAGTTCTATCTGAATATCTAGATTCATTGGCCCTGAGAAGAGATGTTGCATCTCTTCGCATTTTTTGCGGGAATTGATTAATTCCAGTTGCCAAATTGCATCAACGCAGATTGCAACAAAACTCACGTTACCATCCACAACATCTGGATGCATGGCGATCCACTACTGTGCGATTTACTAGGAGTATCGGTCGGTACTTACTATCAGTTAAGTCGCATGCTCGTTTTCTCCCTCTTCTATTTGAAAAAAAAATCAAAAATGATAAGTAGGTGAGGATGCAGTACTGGAGAAGAAGAGGCCTTCACAATGAAAGTAATAATTACTTAATTAATACTTAGGTAAAAGTAAAGTAAAGTCACAGCCTATATGCGTCCTACCGCTGGTCACAGGCGTCCTTTCATTATTGAGAGGGATTTAGTGCAAGGAGGCAGCAGGTAAATAAATATACAATAAAAAATCTAAAAATCAAATTAACTAAAAAAAAATTAAATCAGTAGCAATCAGATCCGATAGACACGCCTACTTAAGTCTATCAGTGGACCTTGATATGCTTAAGTACGGGTAGTTGTATAACGTACTTGACTAAGTTAAATTCACATTGTTAAGTAATGACTTACGCCAACATAATCGAGTGGTTACTATAATGAAGGCAATTCCGTCATACGCAATAATTTCACTGCACCGTGCATTCATACGACCGAGGGGGCAGTATTGAATTGGCGATACGAGCGAAGCTTTTGGAGCGAAATAAAGTGAACTAAAGTGTTAAGTGTGATTAATCATTAGTGTGATTTAAGTTTTAATTGGTGTTCGGTAATTAAAGTGTCAATTTTGCTTATTCAATCGGCAGTTTTTACTGTCACGAACCCTAAGCTCGTAACACTATCAAATGCTCAACAAAAATAAAGTACGTATGACAAAGAGTTGTTGGCTGTTTACATATCCATCATTGATTTTAAAAGACATGATAGAAGGACGGTAAATAACCGTGTATGGTGATCACAAGTCTTTACGCACTCACAAAGGTGAATTCGAGTAAAGAGACTCCTCGACGAATTAGACAGTTGTCGTAAATTAGCAAGTATATCAGCAGTATACAACATGTCAATGGTAACAAAAATCCTGTCGCAGACGCGTTATCGCGTATTGAAACTACTGTTTATCCAACAGTCATAGATTACAAGGAATTAGCGACGGTGCAGGAAGCCGACGTTAAATTATCGCAGATACTACGGGACGCCGGCGCGTCGAACAAGATAAAGCGAATTGCTATTCCCAACGTTAATAAAAGTATACACTGTGACTTTGCGGGGGGGGGGGGGAATATCAGAATCTACGTACCACCGTCATTCAGGAAAGCTATTTTCGAATCTATACATAATATCAGCCATCCAGGTATTAGGACAACTCAATCAATGGTTACTAAGAGGATATTTTGACTGATATGAACAAAAAAGTAGTATTATGGGCAAAAACATTCATACAATTCTAAAAAAGCAAAGTAGTGCGTCATATGGAGTGTAACTCAGCAATATGGGCTCCACATGAAAATAAATACAATCTTATGCTGGAGCGCATTCAGAATAAATTCACGCGATTTATATATCATAAGCTTTATGGGGTTTATCCATCCTACCCCTTGATGTATCCAACCTTGTTTGTTTTAGGTATGGTTGGATAAAACAAGTTGAAACTAGAAGAGATCTAGCGCTGGTAATCTACATTTTAAGGGTGTTCCGTGGTTACATCAGCAACCCGGGTGTGCTGCAGTTGATAGGCTTATGCGTGCCTGATAGGTATGTACAGCGGCGACGACGGCCGAGCTTGCTCGCGATGCCACGCGGCAGGACTAAACTGGTTCGCAATACCCCCCTCACGCGAACGATACACATACTAAATTTGGTAGCTGAGAAGTTGGACTTATTTTCGTGTTCACGGAGTGAGTTCGCAAAAGTGACATTATTTACAATATGTTATTCTTAAATTGTAGTATACAATTGATTGTAACGTATTGTCATTGAAATTAATTATTATGTATTGTTATTTAAATTAATTATTGTGTTGTAATTAGTAATCTTTTACCATTTGAATTGTTACTTTTTGAATTGAGATGCTACATTTATCGATTTAGGTTTTTCCCTGTAATGGTAGATGTTAGTAGGAAATATAAATAAATAAATAAATATTTGTTACAGGAATAGGTTCATTTGAGCCCAGTGAACGTTTTGATCACATTCACGCGGACATTGTAAACCAGTTGCATACAACGCGCCATAGTTATAAGTATTGCGTCACAATCATATACCGTTGTATACACTAGCCGGAAGCAATACCCGTTGAAAATATCACCACCGAAACCGTAGCTAAGGTTATTATGGGTGTGTAGATGCGGATGCCCTAGCAGGTTAATCAGTAATCAAATTAGGCAGTTCGAAAGCACTTTTTTTAAACTTATTAAAGTTACTAGCAGTTCAAAGGATTCCAACCACACCTAACCATCTTCAGAGTGTTGGGATGATAAAGTGATGACACTGTTCGCTGTAACAAGCAGATTATCAGAAAATGAATCATGAGATGATGAATTATCCAAAGTTTTAGTCGGATTACGAGCTGCCAATCGGTGTGGCACAGGCTTTAGTGCAACCGAGTTAGTCTACGGGCAATCATTACGCTTACTAAGTGATTTTTACCGTTAGGTATGTCCAAAGTACAACGGGGACGATTACATATATCGATGACGAAGTGGCAATTACTCTTAACTCAAAAAACACTACTTTACAGCAGACGAAAAAAGTTTCAATTAATTTTACGTATACTTTTGGAACATTGTAAAGTTTTAATTTTGTTACAGGAAGATAAGAAATAAGACTGTATTGTTAAATATAGTGACATATTACAGGTTTCTGAAATATTGCTACATAGGAGAAATAGTTACAATTTTTTTTAATTTTTTTTCTTTTCTTGAGATATTGCAACGAAAAAAAAAAACTGTATTTTGATTGAATAATCACTATTTATTAATCACTTTTAGTGAAACATTGGTCGAAAATCTTAGTATTTAAAATACTAGACGATATCACAAACATTGTATGTTTAAAAATCTACAGTGTTGTCACAATAATCTAAATAACAATAAAAAAAGATAACTTGAAATCTGAGAACTACAAATAACACATCAACGATTAACTGGACCTTATCATGATAAAAATCAACTCAATTTGCAAGAAATATATTCGTGTCAGTAGATATGACTTGCTGTTGAATTTACTGACATTCTTCTGATTATGGTAACGCCAGTTAACAAACTACTTTATCAACATTACATTACATATCACATTGAGTTCGTCCTAAGTTATATCTACTTTATCAATATAATACCGTGGTGGCTCAGTGGTTAACGCTCGCTGTAAATATAACAGAACGCGAGTAACCCGGGTTCGATCCCCGCCGGCACCAATGAAATTGTTAATTGCAATTTTAAGTGCTAATTTACCACGTGCTCGGCGGTGAAGGAAAACATCGTGAGGAAACCTGCATGTCTGAGGAATAAGAAAAAAAATATTTCGAAGACATGTGAAGTTCGTCAACACGCATTTGGGCAGCGCGGCGGACACTTCCTTGCCCTAAACCCTCTCAGAAATGTGGGGAGGCCTGAGCCCAGCAGTGGGACGTATATAGGCTGTAACTTTACTTTACTTTACTTTATCAACATAATGAAATGACTAGTGCATATTTGTTTCCTTCCTTCCTTCCCTTTCCTACCGCACGCGCTGCCGCCGAGGTGAAGAAAAGGATCTCGGCGCGCGTTATATTTTAAGTGACATTACGTTCTCCGCAACGCACGGCCAACCGTCGCGTCTTAGATATATTGACCACAAAACCGCGTAGGACGGACATTGAGTTCTCCTGTTTATGTTTAATATTCACCGCATCAGACATTGTGTCTTTGTAACTCATAAAAACGTGAAACGCCCCCCGTAAGTGCAAAAGTCGAGAGTGTGGGACTTCACGAAACTGTTCCGAGAGTGCGTGTGCGCCGAACCACGTGGCGAGCCCGCTGTATAGCGGACACTCCAGGAGAAAGGCGAGGCAGCCCTCATCGGAACAGTGCGTGCGAATTTTCTCGATTTTTGAGTTTTCGTTCTATTGCTGCATGGAAAGAGTCGCACTCCATTTGCGTATGTCCTGGTTCTAGAAAATTTTGAGTTATAGTGATACTATTTTACTTTTTACTTAGAAACAGCAGGGCATTTGATATAATAGTATTACGATTTTGATGCATACACCCATCTGAATAAATTACGATCGGTAGGAGTTAGTGAATGCAATGTCTTTCGATATAATCGACTAAAAATG